TTCAGTAATAAAAAAGCCCTTAAATCACTTATTTTTTTCAAGGGGAAAACTGTTTAATAATAATGGTTTTCTATTGATCTTGGTTTTTATAAGGATTAGAACTTTATTACTATAAAAAATAGATGGACTACTGATGCTATAGGGTTAGAATGGTTAGAAAAGGTATTTATATCTCAAATTACTCCTTCTAAGCCTGGTAATGTATGATTATTTATATTGAATAGGCATGGAAATTATAAAACTATACTCTTTATATACAAATGCTTCGAATATAATATATATCTTCTATTTCTATTATTATATATATCCTATATTCTATAACTATTAGATTTATCAGTTTTCTTATCTCTGAAAAATATCTATCGATATATATTCAATAATTTGAATTCTCTTTTTAATTCTATATCGATTGGAAAGTGTAGTTTTTTTTATTGCTATTAGAAGACTAAAGCAAAAGCTCTAATAATCTATAATATCAAAGCAGAATGGAAAGTATTGGGTTTATAGCCCAAAAACTGTACTAAACCTTTTATAAATCGATTATTACTTGAAAACAATAATCAAGAGGTTTTATTGATTAATCCAGTATCTGATAATAATCTCCAGTTTTAATAGAAAATAGGGATATCAGCTATTGTTTAGAAAACCCCTCAAAAAGTATCTAATCTTTGATTATATATATCAATTATAATCCAAGAAAAAAGCCTGATTTGCTGACGAGACGATTGCTTTTTCAAAAGATTATTAAGACTTTTAATATCAAGGATTATAAACTTATAATATTAGGGAAACAAATAAAGCAATTGGAATATCAGTTAGAGACAGTTATATCTAAGAAAAGATGTAAGATTGTAATTAGTTTAAATACCAGATTTATAGGGATTAAAACTATTAGAAAAACACAAATCATGATTGGGAACCATGGAATTATCGCAGAGGATAGTGATAATACAATTGAAAATGATAGTACAGGCGATTTTATTTTAATTGAATAGTTATTGAGTTATATAGTTTGGGAGATAGAGAGTTTTTTTTATTGGGTGGCCGAAAAGTGGGGTAGTTGACTTAACAGATTCACTACAACTTCATATATATAAACACATATATAAACATCTCCATCAAGCATCATAATCTTTATAAAAGTCCAACTCTTAAGAAAACGAGAAACAAGCTCATTAAGAACAAATCAGGAGCTATGGAAACTAGGTAGGAATAAGCTTATTCAGGGTATCAGGGCATCGATAGAGATCAAATCAAGTGGAAAGTTATGAAACAATCAATGCAATGGATCAGGATTCCTTTGTTAATAGAAGACTTTGCTGTACAGCCTGTACTATTTGGATAAGAAGGAGAAGGAAAACGTTAGAGCCAATGTCAAAGTTTCGACGCTCACTATTGGCATAACACATATTGATAATTTGACACCCAACACCTATTCCATGACACAAACATATAAGGACAATACCCACTGTCTGCATGACACGAACTAGCGCTCACAAATTGATTCTCACTGGAATATACTATACACATGAAACATGATCAAAGTGCGGAGGGATCTAGAGCTGGGAATTTGCATGGTGCTATGATATCATGTTGTGAATCTGGTGTTGACGACTGACTTACCTTACCATTTGGGAATGAGAAAGAAGAGAAAGGATATGAGAGGTAAGTCAAGCCTATAAAAGGCTCAATGAAAACATAATGCCAAAATAAAAAACCTTAATATATGTCTCCCAACCATCCTGATTAACGTTACCTTTCTCTATCGACCAAAGGAACTTGAAGCTCGACCTCGCCTCGCATACTCCGCATGTTTCCACCAAAATCCCTCTCCAATCCCAAAAAATTAGTCCCAAGCAAAAGCAAAAGAATAATTCCGAATCCAGGGAATCGAACCCGGGGCTACTCGGATAAGTTCTAGACTCCTTTGAAAGAAGAAGAGAGATGAAAGCGAGTTATGTTAACCCCTACACTAATTCGGATTTGTTTTTGATGGTTGTTGAACTGTAAATTATATTTATATACGAAAGAAAGAATATGAGGAGGTATCGGATGCTCTGAGATATGTAAAGGAGTTCAGGAGTGGAGGGGCATAGTGGAGGAGAACTTGAAGAATTTTCCTTGGTGGGGGAGGGGGACCGGGAGAGGGGGGCGAGCGGCGAAGCGAGGAGTTAGTATCCATATTAATATTTACTTTGTATTTCTCACTTTACCGGGAATGAATTATTAATAGGAAAATAAACTAGTTATATATCTCTCTTTTGATAAGAGGCTTTGAAAGATGGAAATAATCTCACTTGAACTCAGCGAGGTTTAGATTTCTATGATTTCACGAAGATAAAATCGAGTTTCGATATATTTTGATATATTTATTCCAATTCAAGCCTAAGCTAAATCTAATCCGAAGTTATAGTATATACTATAATATAAATACAAAAATGATATATATAGATTAATAGAAATATTTTCGAGTCTTTATTTAGTATCTCGATTAATATTTATAAAAAGAATAACTTGAAAGTACTTCTCGAGTTATATTAAATATCTATATAAAATTACTTAAGGCCTTTACATTATATTATATTAATAAATATATCACTATAGTACTAGTTATACTTCGTAATTTAGTAATAAAATCTATATAAGGAAAGTATTAGAAAAGAAGTATATATATAATCAAATCATCTTTGCGATAACAAGTTCAATATCATATCGAGTATCTATATCACAAGTATATATATATATATACAAATATATCGAATTATAGAAGCAATTAATATCTTGTTACCAAATGATAGTTCTAATAATACTTATTCATTCTTTTCCTAGATTAATCTCGATTTTGTTTAATCTTTGACTTTTTCCTTATTTTCTCTTTTTCAATTAAATAATAAAAAGGAATTATATTGAAACTTTTTAGAAAATTCTAGAATTATAATAGATTTAATAAATATAAAAGAGATTATAAAACTTTTTGATTTTATAGAAAACAAAATCTAAATCTGAAAAAGATATCTTTTAAGGAATGTTTTATAT